GGCGGGGGGTGGGGGGTGCGGAGGGCAGACCACAAGCCCATGGGACTGGAAGGTCTGGGGAACAAACCACTGGCTCTGGGAACAGAGCCCACTGGGCTGGGGACCGCTGGGGACCTGCCAACAGCTGTCAGGGGGTCTGGTCTTTGGGCTGGGAGGGTGCAGGGCGTCAGGCCTGCGCAGAGGGCAGTTTATGCTAAGCCGCCTGGGGGTGGACTGGCAGCAGTGGTTAGGCCTGTGGGCGCTGGGACGACCCAGACCCAAGTTCAAGTCCTGGCTGGCCGCTGTGTCACTGTGTGATCTGGCTAAGGCGCTCACCTCCCTGAACCTGTTTCCTCGCTGCGAGCTGGGTATGTCCAATGCCCACCTCACAGTGCCCAGGCTTGGTGCAAAGCCTGGCACTAAATTGGTGCCCACCAAGCTACCAGGGACGCAGTGATAATTTGGTCCATCCCATGATGGTAAGAACTGGGGAGACTGAGGCCCAGGCAGGCAGAGGGACTGCCCCAGGTCATACAGCGGGTTGGTGGCACAAACAGGGTTACAACTTGCCCTTTCAAGTCCCTTAGCTCACAGCCTGGCGCTTTCCACCGTACAACCTGTGTGTGTGCATGTGTGTGAACTCACATGGGCAGGCAGAGATGAGGAAATGAAACCGCCCCTAAACAGGTGATGGGAGGGGGAGGGGCCACAGACCATGGGCTTCAAGTCCTACTTCTGTGCCGCAGACAAGTTATCGGAGCCTCTGAAGCAAGATGTCAGACTCAAAGGCCAGCACGGGGCAAATAAACAAGGTTGACGTTTACGTGGCCGCAAAAAAACAACAGCTTCAATTTTCATAGAAACGTAGGTTTATTTCGATAGAGACAGGCTGAACACAAAGGGCTGAAATAAATGAGTCATCGCTCACATACAATAATAGAACATTTTAATAAAAATTAATATTTTTTCTTGAACATTAACTTACCAGACACTGAATAACTGCACAAATCAATAAGCGTAATGCAAATAAACCTATTTTCCTTGTTCTCCGAAAGTGAAGTATTTCCTGTTGCGCACACCAAACCAGCAGTCCGAGACTAGTGACGTGGCAAATCAGCTGCTGAAATACTCGCTGCTGGTATTAGCGGAGAGGAATGGTGCGCCTGCGCATGCGGCGCGTCAGGAAAATGAATGCAACACGATTCTAGTCATCAGTCATTAGCGAATGTTGTAGTCCGTTATTAATAATTACGTATAACAGGATATTGTAAAAATTATGAAATTTTTATTAAAACGTTTCTTACATACTGTTATATTGGCTGGGCCGCAAAATATTCGTTGTGGGCCATGGACTGTGAGTTTGCTCTGAAGCCTCAGTCACCTAATCTCTAGAATGGGCACAAGTGCAGGGTAAGCAGCCAACCCCCAGAGGCAACCCACAATGGTGTGGCGTTATTATCCAGGCCTCGGGGCGAAGCTAGAGCTGTGAGAAAAGGAACACAGCCCATGAGGCCAAAGCACCAGCCAGGCATGGAGCTAGCTAGAAGCTTCCACTGTGAGGCATATCCTGGTACGGTCCCATTTCACAGATGAGGAAAGCGAGGCTAAAGAAGACCAGAGACTGGACAGACATGCAGGTGCCCTAGCTCCGAGGCTGGTGCCCCTCCCATTTCTGCGTTGTTGTTAGAAGGAGAGGGGCCTGTGCCTGGCAGTAACTGAGGGTCCCTGGCTTCTCTCCCAGGAGGCATCCCAGTGACTTGGACTCCCTGCTGAGGCCATGGCATCAGCCAGCGCTGGCTTCCCGGCCAGGCCCACTCTTACCGTGCGATCCTTCAGAAGAGACTTGACCGCGCTGGGTCTCAGTTTCCTCATCTGTGAAACGGGTCCCACGGCTCCGGCTTCCTGAGGTAGTTGGGTGAAAGGAGCAAGTGTTAGCTCAGGCCAGCACGCGGTGGCTTCAGCAAACCTTGGCAGTTGGTGCTGAAGGATGGGACTGGGTCAGGCCAGGAAACCCCAGCATCAGGCACATGGTGTGAGACCCCGGGGTCCCGCCACCTGGAGGCTGTGTTGGGGGGCGGAGTTGCCTTGTCAGTGCTGGGGGCCCTGTCGTTGGCCCTGGCGCCAGGGCAATTGCAACATCCCTGGGAGAATGAATGGGGCTCAGTGTGGCGGCTGGGCCGAGCTCAGAGCCCCCTTTGTGCTGCCTCGAGTGGCCGTTGGGAGTGCGGCTGGGGACCTGCCGGCGGGTGGCTGTCCCACAGGCCCTCCTCAGCCTGTGCTGGAGGCCAGCCACGCTCCCTCGGCTCCACACCCCGCACACACCAAGCTCTCCTCCCTGCGGCCTCGGGCTGGACCCACACCAGAGTGCAGCTTCCACTGAGCCCTGCAGGTTGAGATTGAGCCACACCGCCCCCAGGAGCCCTGCTCTGTCCCCTCCCGCCTGCCCCTGTCTGTGACTCAGTTGCCTGCAGCTTGGCCAGGTCCTGTTAGGCCTTTAACTCCACAGTCAAAGGCATTTGACTCACACAAACCTGAGTTCAGATCCTGGGCATGTCAATCACCTCTGAGCATCATTTTTCCCATTACTAAAATGGGACAAATATAGGGTGCCCCAATAATTGCAAATCTTGCGTGAATTTTGGGACGCCCTATATAACATCCCTCGCATGATCCTGTGGCAATGAAATAAAACATTTATACTGAGGCTATCATCTTATTATTTGTGTCTTTATTTGCTTGTTCTGGACAGACCTGGGGCTTCCAGAGAGGAACGGGTCTTATGCATCCACACTGGCTGCATGCCTGCTGCAGTTCTCAGTAGATTCCTGTCCTGGGTTGGCCCCAGTTGTCTGGTTTTGGGGGACAGTGTAGGACAGTGATGGCGAACCTTTTGAGCTCGGCATGTCAGCATTTTGAAAAACCCTAACTCAACTCTGGTGCCGTGTCACATATAGAAATGTTTTGATATTTGCAACCATAGTAAAACAAAGGCTTATATTTTTGATATTTATTTTATATATTTAAATGCCATTTAACAAAAAAAAATCAACCAAAAAAATGACGCGTGTCATAGGTTTGCCATCACTGGTGCAGGACGATGGTAGATAACCCCAGCCGTTGAGAGGACCTGGCTTGGAATCGCAGCTCGGTAGCTTCCTGGCTGTGTGGACTTGGGCAGGCCCCTTCACCACTCTGAGCCTCAGTTTCCTCTTCTGTAACTGGGGGCCAAAACTAGGAACCTCCTAAGAGGGGTGCTGTGAAGTTCCAGGGGTACAGCACATATCAACACAGGGCCAGGGACAGTCCGTGCCCGCCTAGTTGGGGCAGAATGTCCAAGGTGGTTTAGGGCTGTGGGTATCACACAGCCACTCTCGGTCCTGTACCCCCCTATCCAGAGACCCCTCATCTCCCAGACATACCAGCAGCCAAGAGCAGCCCATTCCATAAGCCAGTCTTCCCCTTCTCTCCATACACTCCCCACGCTGTCCCTGGTCATGGGGAGAAAACAGAGGGTCCAGGCCAGGGTCTAACAGCTGGCCGGTAGCTCCCTTTCCTATCCCGTGCCTCAGTTTCCCTAACTGTAAAATGGCAGCCGGACCAGAGGTTCTCTCAGAGCCTGGTCAATCAGCGAACATTGACTGAGTACTGGCCACATGCCTGGGCTCACTGGCTTAGCTGACCCATGGAAGCAGGAAAGGTTTCCCTCAAACCAACACATCAGTCAGTGAAAAATCATCTCCAGGTAGAACCTCACTTCTTCTCTCTTCCGCCGGAGTGATCTGGAGTCCCGGCCTTCTGGGGGGCTCCTGACCCCTCCTGTCTGCCCTCCTTCCCCGGGAAAGGCTGGGGGCACAGGGCCCCCAAGGGAAGTGACTGTCAATGTTGGGGTTTTGGCCAGAGACGGTGGGGTGGAGGTGATGACACCACCGGAACTCTTGCTAAGCTTCTTCTGCCCACAGGATGTGGGAGGGTGGGTCGGAAGTAGTCAGGGGCCTGGCCTGAGAGTCTGACAGTGAAAGCCACCCCAACCATGGCAGACCCCGGCTGCTACTGTCCCTCTCACCCCCCATCAGCACCCAGGGCCCCCATCCTGGTGCTGTGCCCTGACTGTGCCCCAGCTCCATCCCCAGCCCAGAGGGACAGGGTCCTGACGTGGGTACGTGCTTGGGGTTTGCGCCAGACGGACCTGGTTCGACTACAATGTGGCCACGGGCAGCTGTTTGGCTCTGGCCAGGGGATGTCACCTCTGAGTTGCAGTGTCCTACGTGTACAGTGGAAGTGATGGAAGTACCGCTTCCTATGGCTAGGTGAGCATTGAGGTAATTCTCATAAAACGCTAAGTGTATGGCTCGGATCACTTATTTTCCCTCAATAAATTATAATTACTAGGATTATTTTCTCCCCTCTTGCCCCCGCCACCCCCAGTTCAGCACTGGTCTCCTTTCTAACAGTGTACCCATGAGGCTGACCCAGGTCACTCCCTATGTCACTCGACTGCTGGCTCCACACTGCCCTCAGGAGAGGGCTCCCTGCTCCTCACCCCACCCTCAAGGCCCTCCCTGGAAGCCCCCCTGCCCCCAGAACAGGGTCTCTTGGAACACCAGGGTCACCAGACCCACCCCTGCCTCCTCCTGCGAGGCTGCTCCAAGGCCTGGAGGGTTTCCTGCAGGTAGGGAGGGTTCTGGGGTGCAACCAGGGAGCACAGCTCGAAAGCAGAAAGGGCTGGGACGTTAGGAAACAGGAGACTGTGGCCACAGCCTAGGAGGGGAGCTGGAAAGAGCCTCCAATGTCACAATTGGTTTTCCCTGAAGACAGTGGAGGGAAATGCATGCAGACACTATCTCAGAATGATCAGAATGATCTGGTGGGTGCTGTGAGGGGGACTGACCGAGAGGCCAGACTGGGAGGCCAGAACTCAGCCATCCATGGGCAGGGGACTGGAGAGGAGGTACAAGACAGCTTTGCTGGGCTGGTGGTTGAGTAACTAGAGCTGGAGGAAGAATTAGGAGGCCGCTGGAGCCAGGGGAATATCAGAAAGGTTCTGGGGGAAGATTGGGTCAGGGGAAGGGGGCAGAGGGCAGAGGGTCCCAGGGAGACGGGGGTGAGTGGTGGCTTGGTGCCCAGCGTGAGGACAGCGCCATTGCTACATCCCGGCCAGGCTACCCTGGCTCGGGAGGGTCCTCTTCACACAGACCAGGCTTGAGTCCCAGCTCTGTCGCTACGTGATCTTGGTTGGGCAAATCACCTCACCTCTGAACCTCAATGTCCTCTTCTGTAAAATGGGTTTGTGATCCTGTGAGGCTGTTGATTCACTTCTGGAGCACACAGGGCTGCTGAGTGAATGCTCGCGATTTCTGTGATTTCTGACCCAGGGCTGGACCAGCTGCAGCGCAGCTCGGTGCGGAGGGTCCTGTGGTTTCACCTCTGTCTCCAGAGAACAGGGGGGTCCAAGGCTGCAAGGCCCTAGCACTGCTCGCGGGCCCCTTCAGTGTCGCCGCGCCCCCTGGCGGCCATCCGTTGCCATGTCAACGGTGGCGGAGGCCCGGGGAGGCGGCGGCGGGGCCGTTCTCTC